ATATATATACATATATATACTTATAAATATTTTATATGTATTTATATGTATAAAACTTATGTTATATATATTTATATATATAAAATATTTATATATTTATTTCAATGATAATTTTTTCTTGACTACAAAAATCTGCCACTAAAAGTAGATACAGATCATCTTGTGTAATTTCGATATATTCGAGACGCGATCCTTTTAAGGATAGTAATCTAGAAAAGAATCAACAAATTCCGTGTATAATCGTCTTTAAGTCGTTTCACTTGTTATAACTTAGAGCTGCGTTAAAGAAATCAAGCAGCCGAACACAAACGAACAACGATCTGTCCCCTTTTTAATGATCGAAATCACGCGGATCTAGAGCGTTTATCTCCAACGGTGTGTTAATAGGAAAAAAATATAACTAACGGACTTGTGAAAAAACTGTGCTTTTTGCTCTGTAAAAAAAATATGGTTTTATTTTTATGCGAAGGATATAATATATATTATTATCTAGTAATAATAATATATTACGTTTTTCGTATAAGTGTGGTTCACAATCGTGTTAAATATTATAGATAACACTATACGAACTTTTATAAGAAGCGATGAGGAAGAAATTAAAGAGATGAGCACATACGTTTAAGCGTTAGGGTTATTATCGAACAGCCAACACACGCGCACTCATTCACTCACACATCTAACGACGCATTCTAGCGAACGAACGAGCGATTGTAACAAATCTTTAATCAAAAAAGTACAAAAAATCGCTAGAAACATTTCCTCGGAAATGCTTCTTTATTTTTTTTTGACGTAATAATAATAGTCTTCGTTTTTTACTATTTAATTCCGATAACAACAACAACAGCAGCAGCAACAACAAAAACAACAACAACAACAACAATGTAGCGTCTAGTCTTTTTGCATATAGCACATTGCGTTTTTCTTTTTTTTTTAATTATGAATTAATTACTGCGCGATCGATAGTCACGTGATAAAAATTAATGAAAAAGGCTCGAAAGGATTGAAACTAATAAGATCAAGAAACCGGTGTAATTTTGTCGGATTTCATGATTTACTAATTTTCGAAATAGATTTCGGAATTAAAGAAAAAAAAATGAAAATCTTTAGATATGAAATAATATAATATGTAAAATTTTGAATGTGATATGAAAAAGGTTGTATTATTATTATTATTATTAATTTCAACTTATTGTTTTCGTCTTATCTCTGCGCAAAGAGTATCATCCCTTTTTCCAATTATCTCATACTTAATCCCTCTATATCCTGTATATCTGTACAGATCAAAAATTAAGAAAAAAAAAGGGAAAATGATTTTAAATAATCACAAAGAAATTCAAATTCAAAGAACAAACCCGAAGTATAGCGTAGAATATTAGAAGAGAAGTTGTATATAGGTATGTACATGAATTCCAGGAACATTTTGAAACTTTATTTTAAGTCATTTTTTAACTTATTGTACAATGTCAAAAATAAAGTTGAAATATTCCTGCAAGTAATCACACATCGCTCTAACATTCTGCGTTATGATTCGAATTCAGATCAGTCTTGCATTTATAAATCTACGAAGTCATTGCTTTAATTAAAAAAAAATATATATATATTTTAATTAATTTATAAAAAGTAACTTTCTCGTTCCTATTTAAATTATAAAGTCATTTGATCCAATTAATGATCTCTATTAATCATCTATTTATTACAAATGAATTATGGATTATGTAAAATAAATTAGTTATTTCTTTTTTTCAGAAAGAAATAAACTTTTTAACGAAGGTTACTTTTGTATTGCTAAACCTTCGTATTGAATTCACCGAAATTATATCGGTTTCTGGATCCCTAATTTTCGAGGGGGACAACAGGTATAAGTCAATTGCACAGTGTCCTGTCTGCGGCAGAAGCGAGGGTTATCGCTATTATTGTAACTGTTAATGTTATATACCTACATCGACGATCATTGTTGTTATGATCATTATTACGATCATTGATATAGCATAAGTCCGTAAATTACAAGGCTCATTTTAAGTACGAAATTGTACCTTTAGAATGAATTTTATAAGATATGGATTTATATTTATTATAAATTTTTTTATCATAAAAATGCGATAATGCTGGCTTCTGCTTGAAAAAAAAAAAAAGAAATGAAAGTAGAGAGCTTTCTCCTCATTAATCTTCGATATTAATTGTTACTGATGAAATCAGCTGTTTTAATGTATCGTTAATAAACGAAATTACCTTGACTTTGTTTCTAATTATTTAATAATTAGAAACTATTATTTTAATTATCTTAATTAAATTTAAACATAAATTATTCATTATTAATAATAATTGATATCGAAAGTTAATTCTGGGATTAACTCTTAATTAATTGATTTTCGGATTAATTCTTAATGGATACAAGTTCTTTTGGCAAAAATAGGGAAAAAATGTTAAAAAAAAATGGACAATGTTCAATGGTGGTGTGCTTTTTTTTTAAGCAAGCATAGTTTTCTCGATTTCTTGTTGCCAGAATTTATTCTCGGCAAGTGATAAAGTATAGAGTTTTAAAAAAAATTGATTCTCTAATCGAGAAGCAGAATAGAGAAGTCTATAAATATATAAATATAAATATTAATATAGAGCATATATATGAGATATAGATATTATATGAAATAATATATCGATGTACAATAATTTGAAAATAACAATTTATAATTATTAATTATTATTATTATTACAATGATTCTGACGATGATGACTATTATAAATACTATAATAAGAAAACATCGAGGTGTGAATCAATAAATGCTGAATTACTTTATGCTATTTTTATCCTTATTGAAAGAACTTTTCAGGAATTAGGTACTAAATAAAGATTAATTTTTAGGGTAATGATTAATGATTCGATCAAATAGTATCTTTCCTAAATAACCTAAACAGATTGGAAAATTTGAAATGTCTTCCAGACAATTTAAAATGTTTCCGATATTTTTCACAAACAATATTGATCTTATTAAAATATTTAATGCATTTTCTTTAATTTTTATTTAATGTTAAGTAAACGTAATTTTCATCTATATTATTTGAATTTATATATTTTTTCAGTAAAGTCTGAATTAAGCAAGTTGTTTCTTCTAAAAAATATATATGTATGTTTCTTTTTCTTTAGAACAAAGCAAATTAAGAGAGAGAAAGAAAGAGTTTGTTAAATTATAATTAAAATATAAAGGATTTTAATTAAATCACAATTGTTTCTATTTATAAATGGTCTTATTAGTATTAGAATTAATATTAGAGTTAATAATTTAATATTTGAAATGAGATAAATTATATTTCTCAATTTCATTTATTATATACAATCCTTGTTCTAAAAAACTGTAGCTGAAATCCATAATTTGTAGTGAAGTTTAAATCACAAAATATTTAATACAATATATTCTATCATTTGAATTTGGAGCTTAATTTTCAAGAGTTAACTTAATCATAAATAAAGAATTTGTCATATATAATGGCTTTAAATCTTCGCCAAGAAATCTGCGAATTCTGCTAAGGATCCAAGACTGAAAGGTGATACGGCAGATCCAGTTATCTTAAAAATAGAAAATTAATATAGATAATTATTTTATATTTTAATATAGTTAATATCTGTTATATTTTAACTAATTAGTTAATATTATGAAAATTTTTAAATTATTAGTGGGAACTTGACAAATATCTATTTTTTAATACATAATATTACTCTTGTGCAGCCGTATAAATCTGAGATAGCTCTTGTAACAATACTCTCCTTGCAACGTGAGATGGTAAAGTCGCTCGTCTATAACGGCATTAGTACGACTACGTGTAGTCTCAGCTTGCATGTAAACAGTAATATCAGTCGAACGGATTTGTTGTTCGTGAGTACGTTGTTTACTGACTATCGAGAGTTTGTGGCAACAACCGAGAGACTAATTTAATTTATTATATTGTATAACACACAAATAATAAATTTGTGTGTATGTGTGTGTGTACATATTACAAAAAAGAGGATATTACAAAAAAAGTAAAGAAAAACAATGAAAGAAACGGTGATAGAAACAAGGATATAAAAGAAGAATTACTCCGCGAAAGGTACTCTTCACGTAGGTACACATACATTCAGCATTGTGTTAATAATTTTTTCGATAAAAATATACATTTTCCAAATGTAATTAATTTAAAAGGGCTAACAGTGGAATTAATTTTTACACAAGAACTAATTTTCACTCGATGAGAAATTCTTGTTTCAAACGTTCACTTCCGTGAAATAAACTTCCAATGCTCAAAACAATTTTTCAATTGTAAGAAGTTCTTCAAAAATTAGTTAAATTATAAATTAAAGTTACATACAATGCTCGCGTGTG